TTGTGTAGAGTTTCTGGTGTAACTCTGAAATATCTAAATCTAGGAAAGGACAGTTATTGCTGTTAATATTTGATTTATTTAAAATACGTTTCTTTGGGTAAATTTCAGCAGTATATTTTGAGAATTCTTGATTATGTAACGAAAAAATATCATCAAGATAATGGTTAAGTATTGTTGAATTTATCAACCAAATGGAATTTAGAATGGTCTTTACTGAGTTTGGCCATAAACTGTGATTCATAACAGTACAAGAACAAGTCTGCTATTAAAGGGGGACATTTGGTGTCCATATAATACCTACAATCTGTCGATAAACTTTATTGCCGATATGTACATAAATGTTGTCAAGGAGAAAATTTAAGGCTTTAATCATCTCATCACACCTCCAGTAAGTATATTTAGCATATTTACCTTCCTCTTTTTTTTTATTAGATTGTGTGGAAGTGTAGTTTAAAGAGTGGAAAAGTCAAAACTGTCAACCGAATCAAAAGCACGTAATTTATCTCAAACATTCAAAGAATTTTTTATACTCCAAAAATGGTTAATTCCACTATTTTCATATGTTTTATTACAAAAATTTATGATCTTTGATAGTAGTTAAGGAACTCGTTAAAAGCACTGAAAGATTAGTAGTAGAACACATACTAGTGGCCGAGATGAAACGATATTTTACGGGCTTTTTGTGTAGTTTAGGTAACCAATACATAGTGGGGACCTTCAGATGTTTAGAGGAGGCCTTATGCTGAGCTGTGGTAGTGACATGATTATTAACTATACGACTCTGTGGAGCGTACAGCCTTGAATGTAGTTGAATGTATAATTTCATTCTACTTATTCTTTTATTTATTTCTAAATTATATTCGAAATGTGATATGCGAATATCAACAATATTCATACATTTATTCAAATAGGAATCAAGTGACTTTTTGTCAGAATTCTCCCGTTTACACATTTTTAACAATAGGATGAAATAGCAGCTTTAATTACCTAACGACACTCTTTGACGTGGACAATATTTCGGTCCTTTTTTTCAGAAAGTTTATAACTTCTCAGGTCTTGAACGATGTTGAGGTCCCTTGTAATTACATGGCCATAGGGATCATATCAAAACTTCGATGTTTAACAGTCTCATGTCGAAGGAGCATTATTTTCTATACTGACGTCTAATTAAAAATTAAACTTCTACTGGGCTTTTTATACAAATAAGAAATTAAAGGTGGCTCTAATAATTGTTATCAAAATATGGAGGTATAAAGTTTTGAATGGTAGAGTCATGAAAAATCAATACCTCTATTAACGTATTTTATTTTTATAAAATACTTTTTATGATCTTCAGGTTTGTCAATTTGAGGGAACAGTCTATGGTGACAAAAAGCTGTAATAATACGTGTACACTCATATTTTGGACTGAAAAACGATATCATATCACATTCGTTATAAATATTCTGTAATTTACTAATTGGCATATTGCCCAGTTTGCATAATAATTGATGTCATAGTTTGCATGCATGCTTCATGCTTGCAATTTGAAAGTATTTCTGTGAAACAAACAGCATACTTGAGGTATGTTTGTCACAAGCTTGCCGCATGCAGACATTATAAGTTTTTAATTTTTAAATGCATAATAATGCTCAATGCATTTTCTGCAAGTAAACTGCATGCATGCATGACCAACAGAATGCTAATAAGTCACAAGATTCACTGCTTGTGGGAAGAATGCTGCACACAAAACTTTTATCTTTTGGATTGCAAAATGCTTGTGGCAAGCTAGTAGATGATAATGTAACTTTCTTCATGCATGTGCAAGCAAACTGCAAGCAAGTCAATGATTGCAGGAAGTTAGTAAATAAATATACAAAATATTTTGACTGAAATATGTACACATATAAAACTATAGTGATGCCATTTATGATATCATCAGTGTTTTGGCAGCTCTTTCTGGGCTCAATTGAAAAAAAACAGGTATGCTAACATTAAAAAAAAACCAACAAAATCCACTAACAGTAATGCTCTACATCAAAAGGATATATTTTAGTAAACTGCCTCATAATGAGACTATTCATTTGGAATATGTAACAAAGTAACAATTAAATGATTACATACATCATTTGTGTGTGTCTTATACTTGTTTAATGATAATTCCAAATTTCTAGATAAAATTAAATTGTTCCGAAGAATAGTGAGAAAAAAAATGTTTGTAACTAGAAAAAACCAATGCCCCTGACTGCGGGTTGAGGTGAATCAAAATCATCCTTCAATTTCTAAACCTCTGAAAAAGGGTAAGCTACTGACTATTTATTTCCTTTTTTGTGGAGGAGACATATTTTTTGGATTTTAACCCTTTCAACGCTATACACAGCATATGCCGCCCGCCACTGCTGTTCGCGGCATATGTCGCGATGACGATGGATTTTTCATACAGACTCGTAACCATTCGGTTTTCATTCGGGTCCTCTCTAATTTTTCCTCGTATGAATCAAGGATATACAAGGTCCCGTTTGTGCTTGAAATTGCGGGATTTTTAATGGTAAAAGCATGCAGTAGAAGAAAAATTTAAAAAAATATTTTGACAAATGCAATGGCGGAAATCGAAAAAGACGTTGTAAATATGGAAATATTTCAGCATTTCTATGGCGAAACTGACAACAAGGAAAAGTTAAAAGGTTTCCCATTATCTCAATGTGTTAATAACATTCAATTCGTGTGGGAAATATGATTTGGTAGATCTTTACGAGACGTAGAAAAAAGGGGAGGGGGGGGGGGGGGGGGGAAACGGAGGTTGACTGAAACAGAGCCACTTATTTGCGCCACGTTTACATTATACGTTGTGTATGGTGCAAATACGCTACTGAATCGAGCAACTGGTGTCTTCTTTATTATATGGCAGATAAAACAACAAAATAAATGAAGATTAAAAGATGTTTTTATTCAAAATTCAACAAAAATACAATAATTTACACCTTTTACCTGTTAATTACCTGAAAATGCAGGTAGCTTGATGAAAATTTTACTAAAATAATTGCATAACATTACATTTCATGCTCTCCTGAGCATTTTTCATGCACTAACTTTGTATGTATCTCTAATAATAAAAAAGATACAGCAGTCTGAAAAGGAATATACTGTTCTAATGAATGAACAGAAATAAAATGCAGCAGCAGCAGCCATTTTTCTAATTTTTTGTGTAGCATTGAAAGGGTTAAAAAAAAAAACTTCTCTTCTCTTCCCTTCAGAACGTTTTAATTTTTATCAACAAATTCATAGCGTACCATATTTATATTAAATGTCATCTGAAAGTGTATCCCCTAAGTAGTACAGGTTAAAATTACAGGTATAAGCTACTGGCTTCTTCCAATTTGCCCTTGATTTTGTAGAAAATAAGATTTATTTGACAAGTATTGGACACAAACAAATGATATATGTAATAATATAATTGTTAATTTGTTACCATTTCAAAACATATAGTCTCATAGTAAAGCTGTTTCATAAAAAACATATTTAGTGATGTTATACTTTAACAGAGTTCGCGAAAACTTGTTTTGACCCGTCGGTCATGGGACCGACAAACTAAGATTATTTGTCAGTCCCACAAAATTTTAGCCAGTCCTAAAAAATCTGTCAATTTTATTCTGTAATAAAAATAATAACATATTTTATCGCAAATAACTTTATAATTATTAGTTTTATTTTTCATAGCCACGGACAAATAAACAATGAATGACCAGTTCTTTTCTTCTGATTGTTCTTATTTAAAGTAATCTTCACTATCCATTTCATCATTTGAATCACTTTCTCAGTATTTGTTATCTCCATCGAAGGGTTCAATCTCCGATTGTTTGCCTGGGATGGCTACATGAACAAATTTAGCAGGCCACGTGTAGATTGGCGCTTTGGTTTCCGTAGGTTCCGTTTGTTTATAATGGGAAACCAGTACCGGAAATTAGCAGCAGGTACATCTGATGACCGATGTAAAAGCGAATTGGAATTAGTTGCGGTACAACTAATTACCGATAAAAAAGGCACTGCAACGGCCGTTTTTACATCGGTCATCAGGACCGGCACTTGCTTTCAAAATACTGGTCCGAGCCTCATTTTGACCGACAGGACCAATTTCGCGAACTCTGCTTTAATACATAGATCAATGACATGGTCCAGGCAGATTTGACAGGTTCAGCATTGTAAAACTGATCTGTTTGTAATTAATCCTTTTTGCCAACAGTAAAAAAATATAAAATATTTCCATTTGATGTAGAGCATCACTGCTAGTAGATTTTGTGTTTTGTCTAATGTAAGCCTCCGTTTTTTCAAGTGACACCAAAGAGAGCTCCCATTTCTGCCTGTTATATCTTTCCCAAACATGGCTGTCAAAACACTGATGACACATCATAAATGCCATAACTTGAGTTTTTTTAAAGTACATATCAGTCAAAATATGTTATGTACTGGTAATCAATCTACTAGTCATGCAAGCATTGAAAAAGAAAGGCGGAAGATAAAAAAAAGAAGAGTCAAACTCATTAGTCAACAAGAATGTGTCCATAGTACACGGTTGCCCCACTCGCACTATCATTTTCTATGTTCAGTGGATCCTGAAATTGGGGTCAAAACTCTAATTTGGCATTAAAATTAGAAAGTTCATATCACAGGGAACATGTGTACTAAGTTTCAAGTTGATTGGACTTCAACTTCATCAAAAACTACCTTGACCAAAAATTTTAACCTGAAAAACTTTAACATGAAGAGGGACAGACGGACGAACGGACGCACAGACCGAAAAACATAATGCCCCTAGGTGGGGCATAAAAATGAACTGACAATGCCATGGCTAAAAACAAAACAAAAACAAACCAAAAGACATAAACAACTGATTTGCTTGTAGTTTGTTTTGGAATGCATGTAGAAAGTTATATAATTATCCACAAGCTTCCAGAGAGCATTTGAAATTGAAATTTATATGCAACAATGGTAGTAGTAATTGATAAACCAGTTATCATACTTACACTATAATCTGGTAGTACTGCAGAAATGTTTGATGCAAAGTCTCGTAATTCTGATGCCAGTGAGGTCAAATTTATTTCCAGGGAATCTTGTGCAAGCTGTAAGGATGAATGTAATTGCATAAGTATGGTAATTTTGCTATGATTTTAATACCAGTAAAAAGGAACGTGAAATTTAACTTGGTTAAAGAAGTGATATAATATATATATATATATATATGTATATATATATATATATATATAAAAAGAGCCTGAATCGCTCATCTAGAATTTTTTGTGTGGGTCATGCATCAATGATTATCTTGCTGTTTGATGTATATTAATGGGTGTTTGAACATGCCATTAAAGTTTCTCTCTACCTATCATAATTTCTGCAAAAAACAAAAAAGAATTGGTAAAAATCATCTTTTAAGGGCAATAACTCTTTAATTAAAAGGCTTTAGGGACAATTTTGGTTATTTGTCTTATTTGCTGAACCATTTTGAAATGTAAAGACACTTGAAATGATAGTTGTCACAATTTTTACTGCAGAACAGAGACAATTATTTTGGCTAATAATGTCTAGATTACTGTAGATGAGACATAAATGATTAATTACGAAAAACACCTCAAACATAAAAAAGGGGTCAAGATACAGTTTCCCTGAATGCCGTTCTGTGGTGTTGATAAGGGATTCTGGTGCACAAAAAACACAATGCAAACTAGCAAAAAAATAAAAACAGTTAAAAAAAAAACCTTATGCTTAAAAAAATAAGTGGCTTCCCTTAAACTGACCTAATCACAAACTTTAACAAAATGTTGATGCCATTGCAGACATCGGAAACAGGATACCTAAGTCTCGCTTTTTGACGCCGTCAAGGCGAGACAAAAAAATCCTTCAATTGGTAAAATTTGCATTTCATGATCAATTATTCTATAGAGTTTGAAATGAATCAAACAAAGGATAATAAAGTTGGTATGGACATAGAGACAGAATGTCTGAATAAGACTTCAGGTATCATTTCAGAGAACATAGTTATTAGGGATAAGCTCATATATGCATGTCTCTTTAGTTTTTTCAACTACTGGGTCAATGCCACTGCTGATGGATGTTTCATGCCCAAGGGTATCACAGCCCATTTAGCCCCAGTAGTCAGCACTTTTGTGTTGATGTGAAATATAATTGATATGTTAGAATGGTAGCAGTCCACAGGAAAACATGACATACTACACATACACATTATTCTCCAAGACAACCAGTCTTTGCACATACTGCTATAAGCTTAGCAGATGCATATAAGCAGCAAATATCAATATTCAGTCAAGCTGAGGATTGAACCCCCAACCTCCTGTAATATTTTGATCGTGAGAATTCCAGATGAATGTATTTTCAGAGTAACACCACCATCATAAATGTTAAACATACATTGGATTTCACCCTGAAAAATAAGAGTCATGAAAGTCATTTCTAATAGATTTTTGCTAAACTTATTCTATTCATACCTTTTCTCTAAACTCTGTAAAATTTATATCTGCAGACAATTTCAAGTCGTTTAGCTGTGCAGTTAAATCAGGTGTCAAAATTTCAAGGTTTGATAGGTCAACATCTATATTATCCAACTGACTTTCAACATTTAATGTCTGAAAAAGTTAATATCTTAAAATAAAAAAAAAAAATTATGGACTTATTTCAAGCTGTTACATTTCCACATGTAACATTGAGTAATGAGCAAATTACTTATCTATCATGTAATTGCGACTCAATTCACCAAAAAATCTTAGAAGAAAAAATAGTGGTAAGTCATAAAACATTTCAGTATACCAGTACCTTAATTTTTGTTGTAAGATTTTTTTTTTAAAAGAGCCCCTGAACTATATGTTCAAATCTTAACAACATGCATGAACCTTAGTGAGCAGGCTCACATAGGTATATGCCAGACTCACATAAATGATAAAATGCCACCTTTTCCTCCATGTTGTTTCCCTCTCTAATTTTGGCTTACTTCAAACTAGGTAGGCAATAAAAAATTGACTTGAGAATGGACATGTACTACCATGGTAAAAAAAATCAAAAGATTTACGAGAGGCGAAAGATACCAAAGGGACAATCAAACTCATAAGCCGAAAAATAAACTGACAACGCCATGGCTAAAAAAGAAAAAGACCAACAAACAAACAACAGTACACAAAACACAACATAGAAAACTAAAGACTGAGCAACACGAACCCCATCAAAAACTGGGGGATCTAAGGTGCTCCGGAAGGGTAAGCAGATCCTGCTCCACATGTTGCACCCGTCATGTTGCTCATGTTAGTACAAACCCGGTAAAACGTCTAATTCAGTAGGTCACATTCGGGGAAAAGGGGACAGGATTGTAGTTACGACAATAAGAACATATCTGCTATCATCTGTAAAACAGATATTCCATAACGGTCAACCACCAGTTGGTGTCATGATAGGATATACAAGCCCTTGAATATTGATCAACTGGGAAATATATACTCAGTATGCAGGCGCTGCTGGAATGTTGCTACATAGAAATGGAAAGTTCACACAAAAACGATGTTGTTTGGGGCTTTATCTGCGGGAATAACAACATATTTGTCATGGCGGTAGGACAAATGTTTTGCAACATTTGGGTCTTTAAAGATAGACCCATTCAATTTTTTAAAATTTGTATAAATGACCTCACAGCCTTAATCCTTTCGGAAAGAGTATCTTCGTCTTTCGTCCGTTTAACCCATTGCCTGGCATAATCCTCGACTGAATCCATCAGTATTTTGAAGTAGTGTTTTCAATTGATGGATTTGGGCTCATGATATTTCGGGCCTTTGGATAACACATTTGGCAGAGACGTGTTATTGACGATGTTTAGATCACCAGTAATAACGTGGTCAGCCAGATTATATATGAATGGGGAACTAGCACAGGTGCAACCAGGAGGTTAAGACTTGAAGTCGTCAATATTGAGATCATGCAACACGTGTTTGTAATTGAAAATTTTAGGTGCAATCGCTTTGGTATAGATATAAGAATGATAGGTACAGACTGATCTTTAAAATAGGGAGGTATTTGCGAGTGAAATGATTTATGATGAAGGATATTGCACAAGTTGATGGCATCGAGACCTTTGTTGGCAAAGGAAAGTTTAAGAAAGGATCTTTTCTCATTTTCATCCTTTCCAATGCGAACTGGTTTGAAAAGTCTTTGATTTGCAATATCAGAGATGATAGCTGTAAGTTTGTATTGGTTTGAATGAGGGTTTGTAACAATGGTTTCCAAACATAAGTTGTACAGAGAATGAAGTTTTGAAAGGGGTAATGAATAAAGCTACGTGCAAATGTGATTAATACCTAACGGCTTTTGTATAAATGTATAATTACAGTATATAAAACATTAACACGTATACATATATATATTCACTGTTGAAACACATATATATGTTGCCTGTTCAAGCAGAAAATAAAAAAAAAAACAATCTCATGGACAGCACCAAAGCTTATTAACACAAAGTTGCTGAACCATGAACTAAGGAGCAGAATCTCAAAATGGTCGACAAACTGATATGTAATGATTGTAATGCAACTTTCCAGAAAATATCAAAGTAACTTATGCAGAAAACTCAACAATAAAAATTGCTAATTCATTAAAAATCACTGGACTATAACCTACTGGGACAGGGCCTCAAAATAGTTGTGAAGCTAATATGTACTGATAGTAATGCAACTTAATAGAAAATATCATTGATTTATCACAAGTAGTTCCTATCAAACTGACTTTAGTAGAAAACTCAACATTGAAAATTGCTTAATTATCAATTGAAAGTCGCTTGAGCATGACCTAGGGGGCAGGGCCTCCTCAAACTGATATGTTCTGATAGTAATACAATTTAATAGGAAATACCATTAATCTGTAACAAGTTATTCCTTTCAAACTGACTTAAAACAAGGAATTATTTGAATCTGGAATAATTTTGAATTCTGGAAAATTGATGAGAAATATATGATGAAAACTAACCCAACTAAATAGGGTTAGCCATGCGCGCATGGCTAAGGTGGGTTAGTTAGTTCATACTGAAATGATAGTGAAAGTAAAATTAACCTTAGCCATGCACGCATGGCTAACCCTATTTAGTTGGGTTAGTTTTCATCATACATTTCTAATCAATTTTCCAGAATTCAAAATTATTCCAGATTCAAATAATTCCTTGTTTTAAGCGGAAAACTTAACAATTGTCAGAAAAGCAACACCTAAGTCTCACCTTCAACAACGAAAAGGCGAGACAAAAACTGTATTGAGCTCAATAAATCTATTAAAAGCCAAGGATGAACTTATCATGGTATGCAATTCCTGCTCTACTAGCAACACCTGTAACAGTAATATACTTGACTTCAAGAAATATTGACCAAGGTGTTATATGGTATTTATTAGTTTAATAACCCCTCCTCCCCTTGTTCATTAATTCCAGATATTTATGAAATATTATACTATAATAATAGTAATTAAAATGCTATTATAAATTGAATATCTGACATCTAAGGTGGAGGTCAATTTTCCGTGGTAGGAAGGCTTATTGCAAGAAGAAGTACTTACTATTATTGGAGGAGTTTAACGGGCTGTCATGTTAGTGATATAAATTAAAATTAACAAGTGCACACGCTATAATATTTCATCTGCTTTACTGACCATGATTGAATATTTATTGACATTCTTTAAGAGCAACATTATACTACAGGCACAAAATAAACTTACAATTGTCAATGATCCATAAAAATAAGGTCAAGGTCAGGTGAACACTGCCAGATGGCTATGTTCAGTTACGATCATTTCCATACACCAAATAGAGTAGAGCTATTGCTTATGGTTTCCAAGAAACAGACCTAATCACAAAAACATTTTTAGCATATATCACTGATCCATAAAATGAGATTAAGGTCAGACCCTGTCTGATGATTATGTACACCTTAACAACCATTCCATACTCTAAATAGTGTTGCAAGACCTATTGCTTATAATATCTGAGAAAGGGACCTAATCAAAACAAGAGTGCACAGACTGAATGTCTCCCTTACTTTATGATAATTGGATATCTTTTAAGGTTTTTAAGAAAAGGTCTTACTATAGGTGTCAAACAAAACTTATGATTCATGAAAATGACATCAAGGTCTGATGAACCCTATCAGACAGACATTTAAAAGAAAATAAGGAGATGTGGTATGATTGTCAATGAGATAACTATTGACTCATCAGACTGGCATGAAACACATCAAAAAGACTACCTTAAAGACAACAGAAACAAAGTAACAACCTAACAGAACTCTCAGTTACTGTAGGCTAGTTATAGTATCTTATAAATGTATCTAACCACAAAAACTTAGCATTGACCACTAAAGGATAAAAATGAGATCAATGTTAGTTTAACACCTGCCAGATGGACATGTACACTCTACAATTTCTGATGTTGAAACATGAAACTCACAGAAAACCCAGAAGAAATTTGAACTATTCTATCTCATACCAGACTTCACAACCCAGAATGTGAATATAGCCAGGCTATAACAGAATTTTAGAAAGTTGATCCGAACAAAAGCACCCGGATACCTTATTTCAAACTCAAGGCTATGTAAAAGACTTCACAATGCAGACCTAAATAAAAGAATCCAGATGCTGAATTTCAACCTCAACACTGAGTCAGTTAATTACAAGACTTCAGAGTGCAAACATGAAAAATAAAAATCCAGATACTGTCATATTTGTATTTCCAAGACTTCAGAGTGCAAACATGAAAAAAAAAAATCCAGATACTGTCATATTTGTATTTCGTAAATTGTTTTGTAATAAATTAGGCAGTTAGTTTTTTTGTTGGAATTGTTTCACATTTGTCATGTCCGTTTTTTCTCATTATTGAAGGCCTTACAGTTGCCATTGTTTTTCCTTGTTGGCATAGTTGTTTGTTTTATAATGATTAAGATTATAACACAATGTTGACTGCTGTACCCCAATTTTTTACATTTTTAACTATTATGTCTGTTTGTTTTGCTCACACATTGTTGTCAATATGATGGAATTCTATGAGACTGTCATACAAGTGAGAGGTTTAGCTAACTATAAAATCAGGTTTTATCCACCATTTTCTACATAAGAAAATGCCTGTACCAATTAAGTCAGGAATATGACAGTTATTTTCCATTCGTTTGATGTGTTTGAGCTTTTGATTTTGCCATATGATAAGGGACTTTCCATTTGAATTTTCCTTGGAGTTCGGTATTTTTGTTATCTTACTTTTTGCCTATAATTGCTTACATTCACTTCATGTGACCACTGGTGGATAGTTGTCTCATTGGCAATCATATACCACAACTCCTTATTTTTATACTGAATTTAAAACTTAACATTTTGAAACAACTTCAGTATTCAGATGTGAATGAAAGCATTCATATTCAGAATATTTACCTCCTTCAGGACTCATATGAATAGCTCAATGGTCTAACATATGCCATATTGATATTTTTTTTTTACTGTTTCACATTCAATAGTTTTTTACCAGAAACAAATTATTCATTTTCAAATATACAGCTTTTAAGTGAAATCTAGGTCAATATTTTGTCATCAGTATCAGAATCACATTATCTTTTTACTG